GACAAAAATGGAAGGATGGATTAACAGTAATCATTTCAATGTGACACAGACACATTGGATAAACCTTCAGCAGCGTTTTTCTCGTTTTAATGCCATGGAACATAACTTTTGATCAGAAAAACGGCAAAGGTAAGACATTTGCCGTTTTGGCTCATTAAAGCTACGCTGTGTGTGGAATCTCAGCTTTAAAGTATTTCTACCGTGAGTTCTGTGCTAAGTGCATTAGCATTTTTTCGCTCAAGGCTAATTCAGAGGCTCTGCGTTAGACTGTTTGGGTAAAAATGGTTCATATCGTCAGGTTGCTGAGTTTCTTCCCGTTAAGTGGGTATGACACATTCATAGTTTGTTAAATGTTAAGAAGCCCTGAGACGCTGTTTCTTGCAAGATGTTGCAGGAGCCCCCGCCACCGGGTTAACAGGTTAAAGGTCACTTATTATGCCAAATCCACTTTTTCATGTATTTTATACATAAACATGTGTCCCCTCTGTGTAAAGAGATTCTGAAAGTTTCAGGAAAAAATATTTGCTCACTTTTTGTCCATTTATATAAAAACCTGTCTGAAAATGAGCTGATCAGATTTTGGCCACTTTATGATCATCATAAGTTTTTTTTTGGCTTGTATAACCATTAGCCAATAACCAACCAAGGTAACCCCCCCACCTTATCACCTCCTGAATCTCCTCCTAGAGCACCATTGTGTTCTTTTTAACCACATATCTCTCAGAGGGGCGTGGGGAGTGGCTCCTTATTTTCTTCTAAAGACCCAGAATCAGCACTTTTGAAACAGGGCGGAAACAGAGGGGTTCACGGGATGCTACAAATTCATGATCTGTTTGGTATTTTGACTCAAACACTTCAGAGACATGTTTTGTATATATCTGAGACCTATAATATATTGATGAAATACAGTATAATAGGGGACCTTTAACATAAAGTAAGTTGGACTGTTTTATGGCCTTCAAGTGAAATGGGCTTTAGCTTTGGAGTGTTAAAACTGGTGGACCTTGACTCGCATGCAGGTGGATCTGAGCAGCCATGCTACTACTTCTGTTAGGAACTTTAACACAATTATCCAAGTGCTTTGAAAACTTCAGTAATCCTAAAAGTACTAAAATGTTTCAAAATTCTCAGTATTTTTGCATAGAATAAATCCGAGAGGCATTAATGAGAGGTCTGACAGTACAGTTATATTTTATATGGAGGAGGCTGATAGCGATAAACTATGTGTGGAAAAGTACGTGGAAAGAACTTTTATAAAATACAGAGTAAATGTAGCAGATCTGCACCTGGGACATATGAGCTGAACAAGCACTACCCCGCACAGTCATCACTTAGATAAACTGCAGTTGAATGAAGGAAATGTATGCTTTGCTGATGGCAAAAGTTTGCTTTCCACACCCGTTGGTCTATTTGTCATCTAGGTCTATTTCAGAGCGAGGGGATTTCTATTTCCTCTCACCTCTAAGCAATTCTCTGGATGCGTTTGCACTTTTCAAGGTAGGTTTGCAACAGCATATGTACATCTCAAAATATGGCAGGCAGTTACTGGTGTTTCTCATTTCCCAAACTTTATGATACACTGTGCTATCCTACCGAAACATTTGCTCCTAAAGCAATGCTGAGGTGTTCAAGGCTTCAGCTACAAATCACACATAGAGGCCAATCATTTTCTTGGCTTACACAATGCATAGAGACAGTCTTCAGTTAATTGGCATGTCTAACTTTTTTATTTTATCATCACTTCAGTCCAGCATCTATAAATTGCCTTTAAGATTGGATATATAAGAAGGTAGATGTATATATATGTACCTCTCCTGCTTTATTTATGTTGGGAAGGAATACGGTAAATTGTCTGTTAAGTGTCAAGGAGCAGTTTTGGCAGGAAACCCAATCTGTCTCCCTCTTAAGAAAGCCAAAGCACATGGCGCCTATCCTCTTGTTCCTCTCAATAAAGTCCTTTGGAGGATTAGCTTGGCTGGTTATAGAGTGTACCTCCTCACAAACAAAATGACACAAAAATATATTTAAAATCTTCAATATTTTTATCAAATAATACAATGTTGTATTGTTTAGCATTGGTTCTTTCCCATAATACTACAAGGAGATTTCTTAAGTGGGTAAAGGCAAATAATAGAACATTCTGGTAAGTTGATAAAAGAGCACTTTACTGTAATGCACCCTATGAAATCATGGAAAGACAGCTCTGCCATATTACGTTATTACATTATTAAATATCTAAGACAATACACAGTATAATCTCATATCATAATACCATAATAATAAATATATGCTGCCCAGCATCAGCCTTAATATTAATGCATAAACTCACGTTGACTGACACAGAATGAGTGGCACAGAGGGGGCAGCAGTAGCCTCTATCTTTACACTATGGCTCTGGCAGGGATGACTATGTCTTGCTGTCACTGTGAGTAATTATCCTAGCCTTTCCTGAATGTGCCTTGGGTACATATGATGGAGAAGTTATGTCACCAAGCTGCTTGAATCTATTACCAGAGAGAGAGAGAGAGAGCTTTGCGAAGGAAAAAGCTCCTAAGAGATACTGAGCGCAGGATGATGAGAACAGCTGCGAACGTACAAGGTTGGAATTCATAATGCAGGCCTCTGGTGCGTGTTAATGTTTGAGACGAGGCAGCTATGCTTCCTCAGCAGGGCAAACGTTGAGCAATTTAAATGAAAGGTGAACAGCAATTACGCGGCGCATCGCCCGAGCTATCACTCCCCCGGAGCGTTGTCAAAAGTGACTTAGAAACAGGGAGAGGAGCTGCTGAGAGGAAAGTCAATGCTTCCAGACAGGAGATGAGAGAGAACATCGTTGTATGAGAGAGAGCCCTGATCAGGGAGATAAAAGCATTTGAGTATAGCCGGGTATCTCTGTGTGGGCATCAGCCAATAATGACAGCTGCTCAAGCAACATAGATAGCAAGACTGAGTATAGATTTAAAGGAAGTTTGCATTTCTTACTTGAGCGTGTGCTTATCTGCAAATTTGGCCATGCTTAATGTAGGTCGAGCATCTGCAAGCCTGGTGCCACAGGAAGTCAAATCAATGTTTGTTGTTTAGAAGAGGAGGATGTTTACCACACATACCACATAATGTGTTTATGCACCATTTCAATAACCCAATTTTGTAACTGATTTGATGTATTTTCCACCTGTGAGTGTTTTAGCTATAAATGCCCTTAAGCTGCAAATTATAAATTGCCGTATTGATTATTGAATGTGGATCCTATGAGACGAAGATAATTGCTGCTTCTTAATAATCCTCAGAGCAGGTTATGCTAAAGCAGCTCTTGTGCATCCCTTGGTACAGACAGAAATAGCATCAAAACCTTTTTTCAAAGGCGGCAGCGGTGTTGCTCAGAACATCTGATTTCGTGTGAACAGCAGATGTCTTGGGAGTCTTACAAAACAAAGATGGTGTTACTGCAGCAGTGTGCAGACTGTGAGGTGAACCTGATTTTTATTATTCAGTGTTGCTTAATAATATCACTTGTTGTGAGGAGCCTAAAGAGGCAACATCTAGAGCTGGCAGATGCTCACTCTGGAGGGTTTTAAACAGTGTTACCCTAAATAACTGCAACCAGCAGATGTGTTTCACCTGATGCTGAGCATAACTCTCAAAAACTGAGGTAAACAGGGTGACACTAATCTGAACTGCGTCCCTATCCCATCCGGGGGATCTGCTCAGAAATGCAGCTTAAAATGTCCGAATGTTGTCTTGCGACGGCAACTGCGGCTTTGGCAGATATATTTTTGGAAAGGCTTGCAAAAGGTTACAGTTACTAATGTCTTATTCATTTATTTTACAGAAAAAGTCAAAATAGCATAGCCTTAGCGAAATCTATAAAAATGTATCTACAGTATTTAGGTTAGAAAAACATACATTGATGTTATTTTGCTTGTACTAACAGAATAGAGGGTGCTCTCCTTTAATGGCAACTAAAACGAATTTTTTTACAAATCTGGTCATAAAGCAACTATTTCTCAGCAGGAATGTAATCCAATAAGATTGTAAGACATTGTGTTGGGAACAAAATATCACTGTGGAATTTATAATAAAACATATAATGCAAGAGCTCCACAAACCATCTCCAAGAGGGACACCTCAACATCTGAATATAGACAAAGTACATTTGTTGAACAACAGACTTGAGCGTCTCACCTGTAGTTTACAGGCCACCGTACCATCCACATGCGGTGATAAGAGAGCGAGGTGACGGAGAAGCAGGTGACCAATGTGAGGGTGTAGAAGGTGGAGACAAACACCTTGCACAGACCCTCGTTCCACTCGTAGTTTGAGTGCTGGCGTCGCAGCGTGATGACACAGTACATGGTGATGGGGATGGCCATGTTGAGGATGTGCGTCCCGGCCAGCGTGCAGATGAGGAACTCCAGCGGCTTCCACTTTTTCTGCTTGGCACTGACGCTAAGGATGCTCCACGTGTTGGCCAAGATGGACAATCCCGAGCATACCAGCCATGCCAGCGTGTTGGCGTTAATGACGTCATCCTTCATGGTGGTGACCTCATCCACCATGTTGGAGCGAGGCAGGGCGGAGCCTGGGGGCCCTCAAGGAACTGTTGGCAAGAGCAGGTAGAAGGAGGAGGTGGTGATGGGCAGGAGGGGTGCAGGCCGTCGGGCAGGGGAGGCATCCTATCTGGGTGGGCGTGCACTCTCCATGGGATGACCACAGCAGGGAGAGGGCGAGGTAGTGGTGCGACGCAGAGGGATGTAAGAGGGGGGGATCAAACAGCCGGGCCAGTTCCCTTAAACGCCTGAGGCTGCAGAGGAAAAGAGAGATCACACATCGATCAGAGACAGAACATATCAGGAAAATATCGTCAGTCCATTAAAAAATGATCCATTACCCCAGTAAACTAATAGAGTGGCGAAGTCCCAGCCCCTTCCGGTGGACCGCCATGGGACCTTATTTCGGAAAAGTTATGTATTGAAGTCAATGGAGAGAGAAAGATTATCTTTCGATCCCGTTTGAATTGTGCCACGAATTAAACTTATGATGGTTGTCAATTTAAAAGATCATTTTGCCAGTAAAAATAAATAAAATGTGTCGTAAAACTGTGAAGTCACACATTTTTGTGTGTGAAACGGTCAATGAACTACATCTCTGGTCTTGCACAACAACACACGTCACCAAGATGGCCGTCACTACTGTCTTGTCTTACTGCTAAACAAGGGATTAACTACCCTCACTATCACCACAATGAAACACGTCCAGAAGAATGTCATGCAAAGCTGCCTGCCTGCCTTCCTTTGATTCTCTCTGAACTGCCTGATCTTTTTAATGTTTAATGTCAACCATTTGTGCAGATAGCGTGAAGTAGAAAAGATCGCCGATGCTAATGTAGCGTTAGCGTTTCTCCCCCGGGCTTAAATGGTGTATTATAGAATGATCACACTGGTGACAGTACTCTTCAAAGGGTTCACGAAATATGACTACTACTCTTACTGTTTAACATTTTGGGTTACTTCATGTTAAGGCTAATAAAAATGACAAGGCTAAGGCTGTAATGCTAACTAACGTGCTTGCTACTAGTTAGGTAGCTAACTTGATCCAGCCACTCCTGGTCCTTTCATCAGACGGGAAGCGAAAGAACGAGCAAGACCCATTGCTGGTATGATAACAACCTGGTACTAAGCACACAGGCATCTTGTTAAAGTTATCGTATCTTAGCTATCTCTTATTTGGTGGAGGAAAATAATTGTGACATCAGTTATTATGACATCACTTACGCGACTCTGGGATTTGTAGTCTTTCTAGTTGCGGATTTTTCATAGTCTTATATTTCAACAGTTTTACGAAAAACTGTGACTTTTTTGACATGAAAATGAATTTTTAAGATTGACAAACATCATATGTGTAATTCGTGGCACAATTCAAACGGGATCGAAAGATACGTTTTCTCTCTCCATTGACTTCAATACATAATTTTTCCGAAATAAGATCCCATGGACCGGAAGTAGATGGGTGTGACTTCGCCACTCTATAAGTAATTAGCACAATTATTTGAAACTAAAGTGGTAATAAACTTGTCCACCCTCAGGGTGGACAAGTTTATTACCACTTTAGTTTCAAATAATTGTGCTAATTACTTATAGAGTGGCGAAGTCACACCCATCTACTTCCGGTCCATGGGATCTNCTCCGCTCTCTGACCGCGGGTATAGTAGAGTTGCGTTGAGTAGAGCGGTTGTGTTTTAGTGAGCTGGTATTTTTCGGTAGTTTTCCATTGTATTTGACCATTTGTAATCATGGTGCAGTATTGTGTTTGTGCAGGTTGTGATGTGACGTTAGCTAACATTCTGTAGCTAACGCCGGTCACTCACCAAGATAGCTGCCCAGTTCTCCACTGGTTCTCCTCACACCACAGCTCAATTTCTCTCCGATGGCCGTTATTTCTTCTAATCTTTGGCTGCTCCTGGTCTCTTGGACGCCTAGCAGGCTCATAATTCTAAGGTTGTGGTCCGTCATATGCATTCGAATATTCATGTTCAACTTCTTCTGTGTCTTCTGTGTCGAAACTAGCATGTTTATTAATACGTTACACCGGCCGCTCTCCCCCTTGTTTCCCCCATGTTACGTCACAAGCGGGAGGTCACGTGCCGAGGCTTTTTTTTTGCGGAAGTGAAAATGTCTTACAAAAACGACGCCAGATGTCACAGTAGTGTATATTTCTGTATTTTATTTTTAAAATCTATTGTATTCATCATTTTCCTACACATTTATTCACAGGTGTCTTTAACCTGGAAGTTGCTCTTTAAAGCCTATTCATGTATCTTTACTTCTAATTACACAAGTCAAATCAAGCAATCTGATTGGTTCTTAGTCGTGATATAATGAGCGTATATCACGGATAGAACTGTAGTTACTTTTCACAAGTCATGTATCCCTCCGCGTCTGAGAAAAGCTACAACCGTTACATTACGTTCGTTACGAAACTAACTAACTATCAAATCTTAAGATTGAAACATTTAAGGTTAACTTCGACCTCCGGGGTGGCCTTACTATGGAGGAGTGGATTGAGCAGTGCCTATCTCCAGAAAAAAACGACGACATGCAGAGCTATGTGAAGAGCAGGTAGACCAACTGGAAAAGTACCCCCAATGAAAAGCTTTCTGATGCGGGTATTGAAACAAAGCGGAGAAATTATGACCGTTAGTGGCCACAGGTGCGAAAGCTCTCTCCAGAGCTACTGGAAGCCGAATCTCGGGGACCGGAGAAAGTGGAGCAATTTTCTCGCCACGCCAAGCAACAGCCTAGTACAACCTCAACCTATACAAGTAACCTCGTAAGCCATGCTACTGATGCTGGACCGGTTTTCAGTGGGTGCACAATAAATGGCAACATACTGTACAAATGAATGTAAATAAATAGCCAAATAATGGATCAACGCTCTCTGTCTAATATGTTCGCTAGCTGTTAGTGTTGTCGCATAGCAACTACCTCGCACTATTTTGTGCAGAAGTCAACGGAGGGACTATTTTATTTTGAACATCATTATTTACTAATAAAAACTATTTAAATTAGAGTGTGTATTCTTCTGTCATATTGCCACACTTGGTAACCGTTTTATAAAAGCAATAGCTCACTTCAGGCCGTGGTATATGGTCATTATATCACAGTTTATCATATCATATATCACAACCCCCTTAACCTGTCTTGAGCTATTGCTTAAATATAAAGGGCCAAGACAATGTTAGGATTTGTGTTGTTTTGTTTCCAGTTTTTACAGTGTAATTGAATAACAGGGTAAAAAAATTTTTTCAACCCAAAATCTGAGTGATTTTACTGAGTGGGTAGAAATAAATATCCCATTGACACTTCACTGATCTTATCCAGGGTTTTGCAGAATATTGTACATTATGATCAACATTGTTATCTTGTGATATGGCGAGTTAATGTGTTATCAGTTTATTAGTTGATTAGTATATCTCGGAAGTTTTTTGTGTCAGGTTCCAGCTTTATTGCTTTTTCCATCTAACATTTCCTTGACACGCAAAATTAAATAGTAAAGCCTAAAATAACATTTTCTACATCTAATTTGAAATGTAAGCTAGTGTTGCACTTTGGGTTGCAGAGTTAACCCACATTGTAGGCATGATAAACTGTGATGTTGTCTCAGTGATGAGCTGCCTTTTGACTCCTTTTTTCTTGCAAGGTTTGGGCTGGTTCGATGCTGCTTGAGGACACTGGCTGGCTTAATAGAATTTCTGAATGATGAACAATTTCACCAAGCATAGACGTGCGTAAACAGAACTAAACAGAACATTTAAGATGCTATAGGATTGTGCTCATGCTCTGCATCAACATTGGCATTAATATGCTCACAGACATCAGGAAGTCATCTGTGAATTCTCAGGAGAGTCTGTCATCACAGTGACACATAAAGCACGTCAACACATTTTATGTTTGAATATGAAAACAATGAATAATTACATAATCTGAAGTAGATCATTAATATGTAAAGGCTGGAGCAAGACCTTTGAAAAGACAAAAGGCATTGGAAAAAGGTTGACATCCCCTGAAAGAAAACCCCGCATATATTGTTTGTCTGAAATCTCCATGGTACCTCCAGCTATTCCCAGAGGTAGAACAACTGCAGCTGCTTGCAAATGTCCCAGAATAACCTTGTTAGACCTTTTATTGCAATTGCTTGTATTAATTGAAAGCTGCCATTGTCCCTCTTGAGCCTCATGAGTCCCCCAAGCAGAAGTGCTTAGAGTACATTTTATGCTGCTCTGTTCCTACATTGGAAAAATACAAGCACAGCCGGATAGATGGAAAGGGGAATTCTTATTTCACCAGAACAGAACATATACAGAACATGCAATAACAGAAAAGGGTAAGGGTGCCACAGTAAAGCACATAACCTCTGTGGGGAAGTGGGTTGGGGTAATCGACAGAGAAAACTCAGGTGATGTAACACTAGCAGCAGCTGTCTGTGATTCAGAGGTTGAGAGAGATGTGAGAACTGGAAATTGTGTTTTTTGAAATAACAACAAAGGCTGTAGACCGCTAGAGAAAGGCCTTGAAATGAAACTCTGACTTCCTGACAGTCGCATATATTTTTTTACTGCATACACATTTTCTGTTGTACGGTAATTCTCACTGTGAATAAACTTAATTTCTCATAAATGAACAATACTGATCCTTCACTGTATTCTATAGTTCTTCTTTGACTGGGCTAGCATACCTGCATCTATCTTTGTTGCTTCTAATAACAAAGCAGATTAGATAGAGTTTCCGTACACAGTGAACACACTGACTGCAGCCCGGTCCATCCCAACAACCCGGGGATTCCTCGATCAAAGCTATGAATCATTCTTTTTATATCCCAACCTGGTTTGAGGTTTTTTTTTGTAATGGTTTGTGAGGGTGTGATAATGCTTTTTAACACAGTGTGTTTTCTTTGATTTCCTCCATAGTGAAATGTGGCTGTTATCATCTTTTTATAGCCGCTGTGCCGCGAACGCAGAGGCCTGAGCTAATGTATTTTCAGGGTTTTCTGACTGTTAATTCGTCTGTATGTACTATTCTCAGATAGAGCTTTGAGGGAAGTTCTTATCATTTGGCACAAACTTCCACTTAGACTCAAATATGTTGTTGCTCTAAGGTCAAGGTCACTGTGACTTATAAACACACATTTGGCAAGAATTCATACATTTATCTTGACAATTTCCCACGAAATTGTAAAAGGATAAAATGATGTGATGACATGTTGGACAGATAAAGATGTCAAATGCAACTTGATTGGTGGGCGGAG